CCATAGATCTTTATATCGACTCTAGTGGCCTGGTGCATGTATTCATGCAATGGTAGGGTGCTCGTCCTGCTCTGCGCCCTCTTGCAACCCAGGACCCCTCGCGGGATGTCAGGCTGCCAGTTTTGGCCCGATCCCCGCAGGCCAGGCCGAGGGACCCACCGATGCACAAATCCGTGCACCAGTTGGTTAATAAAACTAAATAGGTTTCAGGGGTACAATTCTATAATATATCACCTGTATATTGTACTGTGTGTTCACCACCCTAAGTCTCCTTCCATCACTGTTTATGACCTCTTTCCCCTCTTCTTCTTCTTCTTCTTTTTTTTTAAAATATATTTTTATTGATTTCAGAGGAAGGGAGAGGGAGAGAAAGAAACATCAATGATGAGAGAGAACCACTGATTGGCTGCTTCCTGCACACCCTCTACTGGGGAAAGAGCCTGCAATCCGGGCATGTGCCCTAACTGGGAATCAAACTGTTCATGGTTGATGCTCAACCACTGAGCAACACTAGCTGGGCACCCCTTTTACCCTCTGTTACTTCCCTTCACCCCCCTTTCCCTCTGGTAATCACCACAGTTTTCTGTGACTATATTTTTGTTTGTTTTTGCTTAATTCCTATGTAAGAAAATCCTACCAACACTGACATATTTCTAAAATAACACATGGGCACTTGTCAGGGACAAACAGAAGTTCATAGGTTGATGCGCAACACTGAGCCTCACAGGCCAGGCTAAAAAAATGATTTCTTGCTTTAATAATACTTTTTAAATTAACTGACAACTACCACCAGTCCACTCTAAATAAGAGGTTTCAAATGTAAAGGAAAAAACAGTAAATGTATTACTTCCTGGCAACCTTAAAGCCTGTGTTTTCTTTAAGATTTTATTTTATGGATTTAAAAGGTAAAATCATAAAGAAGCCAGAGAAAACATTGGCCAGATAAAAATGATGGTTAAATGCTCATTAGAAACGATACATGACAAGAGATGTTGGAATCACAATAAAGTAACGAAAGACCAAAAAACGGAGATGGGGGATCTATATTCAGTGAAAATATTCTTCCAAAATAAAGATAAATGTAAAATTTTCATATAAACTCAGGAAATCTGTACCAAACTCTTCCTCACAAAGTCATATTAGAATGCAAGCAAATTGGTGTGACATTAGTATAAGCATAAACTCTAATCTGGTCTAATTTTAATATTTTTTAATTTGAAAGAAATCAGTTGTAAACTCCATTATTAGTTATAAAATATTTTTGACCTACCACACAACCACCATGATATACAAGAGTTCATTTCCATACTATGTGAATGACTGCTGACATCCTAATATATAAAAAGCTAGAGGCCATCGAGCCGAAATGACCGGACGGATGATAGAACAGCAGGGGGTCCGCAATGGGGGCAGGGCCATGGTGGACGCCTCTCCGTATGCCTGCACCAGGGGTCTGGTTCAAATCTTGGATTGTGAGAGGGTGAGTGAGAATGACATAGGATAAGGGACCAACAGGGGGGTAGTGGGGGTGGAGTCGATCTTGGATGAGCAGGGAGGTGAGGCTGAGTAGAGAGCAGAGCCCTGCCCAGGAGGCCTGTGGTCTGGGTAAGGCAGCCATAGGAGGGATTAGTCTGGAGGATGACACAGGACTTTGGCATTGTAGAAAGAGTAACTTCAGCAATCAACCGTACGCCCCAAATGCTTTTTCTTCGATGGTCCAGGTGGTAGTGGAAAAATGTATCTTTATAAAATTTTAATACATTATATTAGATGTCGTGGTGGTACTGTTTTACCCACAGTGTCTACAGGAATTGCTCCAAATTTATTTCTCGGTGGAAGAACCTTTCATTCCCAATATAAATTACCAATTCCATTACATGAAACTTCAATTTCTAGACTTGATATAAAGAGTGAAGTTGCTAAAACCATTAAAAAGGCCAAACTTCTCATTATTGACGAATGCACCATGGCATCCAGTCATGCTATAAACGCCATAGACAGATTACTAAGAGAAATTATGAATTTGAATGTTGTATTTGGTGGGAAAGTTCTCCTTCTCGGAGGGGATTTTCGACAATGTCTCAGTATTGTACCGCATGCTATGCGATCAGCCATAGTATAAATGAGTTTAAAGTACTGTAGTGTTTGGGGATGTTTCAGAAAGTTGTCTCTTAAAACAAATATGAGATCAGAGGATTCTGCTTATAGTGAATGGTTAGTAAAACTTGGAGATGGCAAACTTGATAGCAGTTTTCATTTAGGAATGGATATTATTGAAATCCCCTGTGAAATGATTTGTAATGGATCTATTATTGAAGCTACCTTTGGAAATACTTTATCTATAGATAATATTAAAAATATATCTAAATGTGTGATTTTTTTATCCAAAAAATGAGCACATTCAAAAATTAAATGAAGAAATTTTGGATATACTTGATGGAGATTTTCACACATATTTGAGTGATGCTTCCATTGATTCAAAAGATAATGCCGAAAAGGAAAATTTTTCCATCGAATTTAATAGTATTACTCCTTAGTAATGCCATGTCATAAATTAAAATTGAAAGTGGGTGCAATCATCATGCTACTGAGAAATCTTAATAGTAAATGGGATCTTTGTAATGGTACTAGATTATCAAAAGATTGCGACCTAACATTATTGAAGTTGAAGTATTAACAGGATCTGCAGAAGGAGAGGTTGTTCTGATTCTAAGAATGGATATGTCCCCGTCTGACATTGGCCTCCCATTTAAATTAATTCGAAGACAGTTTCCCGTGATGCCAGCATTTGTGATGTCTATTAATAAATCACAAGGACAAACTCTAGAGCAGTGATGGTGAACCTATGACACGCATGTCAGAGGTGACATGCGAACTCATTTTTTCGGTTGATTTTTCTTTGTTAAATGGCATTTAAATATATAAAATAAATATCAAAAATATAAGTCTTTGTTTTACTATGGTTGCAAATATCAAAAAATTTCTATATGTGACACGGCATCAGAGTTAAGTTAGGGTTTTTCAAAATGCTGATATGCTGAGCTCAAAAGGTTCGCCATCACTGCTCTAGAGAGTAGGAGTATTCCTACCTGAACCCGTTTTTGCACATGGTCAGTTATACGTTGCTTTCTCTTGAGTTCGAAGAGCGTGTGATATTAAAGTTAAAGTTGTAAATACTTCATCACAAGGGAAATTAGTCAAACACTCTGAAAGTGTTTTCACTCTTAATGTGGTATACAGGGAGATATTAGAATAAGTTTAATCAATTTATCAGTCATTGTTTGTATCAGTGTTGTTTTTACATCACGTTTTTGTTGTTTTTATATCATGTCTTTGTTGTTGTTATATCATGTTGTGATTATTTATTAATAAATTTATATATTATTTTCATATACATTTTACTAATTTTTCTTTCATCTCTGACTCTTCTATTATAGAGAAAGGGCAAATAGCAATATTAAAATATTTCCTCTAATTAATTCCCTTTTAATGTGCACGAATTTCGTTCACTGGGCCACTAGTATAACATAACAATATAGCAAAAATAACTGCTTATTTCATTCTTAACAAACTTACCTTTCTGTTTTGGAAAAATCTGTTCAGGATGCTGTAAAATAAAGTTAAAAATGCATTAGATAATTATTGCAACATATTAAACTAAGTGAAATTTTTAAAAATATGAATTAAGATAATTACCTTCATTATTGGTCTGGCTCGCTTCTCAAACAAACCACTGGGAAAAAGATAAGCAATAGCTCTCTGAAAATACACATAAAGGTTAATAAAAACAGTATTGAGTGTAAATGTGCCAGATATCACATTAACAGTTTCATATACATGATCTCATTTCAACATAATCAAAATGAAAGAATGTTACCACATACACATCCCCAAAAGAAAACTGTAAG